TTAAACGTTTCATGTTAAGGAAACACATTGTTGATTCAGGTAAAAATAGGCATCAAATTATTGTACACAGGTGTTTTGACAGCCCTTCTAACCAAAAGGACATACAGAGCATTCCTTGTCCTCTGCAGGTCACATACGCACCCCCAAGGAAGGGGGAATTTGGGCAGGTGGGGCTGAGAAGGTTTTGGTGTTTTCAGAGGACAGTTGCTTTCAGCTGGCAGGGTAGAAATTAATTCTACATCTTTCTGGTACGATTTTTGGCATCCCACCTTGGCTTTCCATTCACCCTGTGGGTAAGTGCTTTTCTGCTAACCTGTACTTCCTTATACTGCTTAATTGAGGTTATTTATTTACAGTAGCAAGGAATTAAGAATTGCTATGGCAAACTTCATCCCTCTTTTCTAAGGAATTATTTTAGCATGATTCCAATGGGCTATTCAATCTCACTAATTTATTTTTATAAGTGTTAAAAGATGCAAAACAATTATTACAATATAATGATATGAATGAAAATGTAAATTTAACCTGAAGCATTTATCAATAAATCGATGTATTTTTTTAAACTTTTATACCTACAGAATGTGCATACTTTTTAAACTATAAATTTAAATTCTAAATAAAATTTGAATTAAGAGTAAAATCTGTCTGTGCCTATCTTGTGATTATTTAAACCTGTCTAAGCTGATGTCATCCATTTGCACTGGCTGCATACATGAATTAATTATATAAAGACATTTAACTTTTCAGATGCTTTGTTCTGTTGTCATGTCCAGATTGACTCAATGTTTGAGTTGGATAATTAAAAACAAACTACTACTCTATTAGCACTCTTTGAAATATGTTTGCACTTAAATTTATTTATTAATCTTTCATTGCTTGTAATAATCAGATGATGTAAGTGGTCACCTCTTGAATGCACGTGAGCTTTTCCTCCAGGAGGGCTCTGTAACTCTGTCAGCTTTAATATTTTAATATTGCAACAGTGGAAATTAGTGACTCCATAAATTGTATTCATATTAATATCATGAGGTAATTAAAATGCATTGATATATTGTATTACTGAAACAGTTCCTGGTAATTTAGTTATAACAACTTATATTTTGTATCTTAGAAATCCTCCTTTAATGAGACATTTCCCAAGTGGTATTTTTGTTATGTTATCCCATATATATATTCTTATAGAGACTGTTGCATTTCATACAGTTATTTATATAATCTGGTCAAGCTGCATTCTTTTTGTGATTGTTACAGATTCTTAAGGAACAGGATTACTGTGGGAATTACCTTAATCTAGGAACACTAAATTGGGAGATTAAAACAACCAAAGCAGTAATTAAGTTTTTTACACAAAAGGGCAGCCTCTGGCTGTGTGTGGATGCAGGGCAGAGCTCCTCCGAGCCCTGTGGCCACAGCCAGGAGCCTCCTTTGCTGTGCTGACCTGTGCTGTTGTCTGCTGGGTGAGACTCCTTTGGCATCAGGAGCTGCTCCTGTTCACCAGGGACTGGAAGGGGTTAACAGCAGAGGGAGAGCCTGCAGTGGAGTTCAGAGAGCAAACTGTCCTTGGAGTCCGTGGACTTCCTTCAGGTGTGACCTCTGCTTCCAGGTAAAGAAAATGGTGTGGGTGCTTTTACAGAGGCAGTTCCAGGGCTTGCACCAAAGTCACATAGAAATGGTTGTACCCAAGCACAAGGCACTGATGACCAGGGCTGGGTCACAACCAAGAATTGTAGCTTGTAGTCCCCAGGGAAAAGCAGAAATGCAAAGGTAGGTCTGTGCTTTCTTTGCTGCCAAGGGTTAGGGATATGATACACTTCAGTGGATTTAGGAGTGGACTAGGGCCATTTGTAGAGTTTTAATCCTTTCCTGTTTGTTTAAATAGGATTTTCCACATTCCAAACACTGCTGGTACTGTGTGGCTGATCCACCTTTTTGCTTCTTCCCCTTTTAGCTTCCCAAAGTGCTCATTACAGGAGTATGCAAGAGGTGGGTGGGAATGGTGTGGAGTGTGGAATAGTGGGGTGGCATGACCTCAAGCTGGCTTAAGCCACTGGGGACCTACATGCTCAGAAACCAGGTTTTTACATCTGTCTTTCCCAAATGTGTAACCTGTATGTATGTTTGTTAATGCACCAGACAATCAAGAAATTGATCTGCAGCTGTTCAGACATGTTCTGAAAACAGAGGGAAACATCCCCAACAGATATGTAGGATTTTTACAGAATATAGATCTGATAAACCAGAGAAACACTTGGTATTTCCACTGTCAGATCTTAACCCCTTCCCCTTTGCCCCCATCCCAAGGAATAGGATGGGGATACTGGGATTTTTGACAAGAAGTGTATTTTGATATAGGAAGCAGCTGAAAGATGGCTGTTTGGGGTGTGAGGAGGACTGATGTTGCACTGTCATGTAACTATGATACATTTCCTTTAAAATGTCATCCTACATTATGAATTTACTGTTTTCATTCTGCTTGTCTCTTAGAACCAAGCAAGAAAACCTGCAATGTCTCTTAACGTCTTCAGGGCAAAACTGCAACGGCCCGACATGAGATGACGCAGAGCTGGCCCTACAGGTATTTGAACATCTAGAATTGTGTTAGACAGATTAAAGGATCCTCATGGGAGGTATAATCTCATGTCTCCTGTGTTAGTTGGGAACAGAGATGGGAGGAAAATGGCTTTCAGGAAGATTACTCCCATTCCTGCAGCTCCCCAGCTACTTTGTTCTAAGGAGGGAGGGGAGCTGATAAGAAGAACCCTGATGTGCTTTTAGGAAAACCCATCTGAAATCCCTCTGTCTTTTGGGATATTTTCTTAATCAGAACTCTTAAGAGTGCCTCTGTGGTGGGGAACAAGGCTCCCATTGAGGCTGCTGCCTCTCCTGGGGTGTAGTGACAGAGCTGCAGTGGAGGGGCTGGGCTTTCCAGATAAGCCATGACCATCTGATTGACTGATTTATATGTAGTTTGCAGCCCTGTTAATCAAAAGAAATCCATGGAAGATGCTCTGAGGGGGGTGTACTAATGAAGTCCAAGCCTGATAATAGGTGAGCTTTTTAATTAGTCAGTTGTATGATGTTTACATATCTGTGTAGAGCAGGCTGTTAGTTAAATATTTATTTAGCAGAGGAGCAGTGTTCTCTTCCTGTTTGCACTCTGCAAGCACTGTGCTGCAGGTGCTAGGGATATATATGCTTGTTGAATTTTCCTTGGTTTTAATTTAGAACTAGTTCAACATGAAGGACAAGGAATATTGCTATAATATTTAAACTTCAAAGTAACAAAAGAGAGACCATTTTTCAAACCAAGTCCTATCCAGTGGCTTCAAATCTCTCTTAAATCAAAGTTCAATCAAAGTGCTAGAAGTACATGATAGAGAGATCCTGGCTGTAGAAAACTGAAGGGCCATGTCTTTAACACTGCCTAACCCCAATTTGCAGTGTTTATTTTGGGAAGCAGGAGCCTCACACAGATCCTGTTTTCTCTTTGGCTGTGCTTTACTCTGATGAAGCAAAGCACTGGGGCTGGCTATTGCTTGTCAGCTGAAGATCCTTTCTGCAAATCCCCTGTGTGTCAGTTGTCTTTTGTGCTTTAGTGTCTACTGTGACCACATGGACATTTGTTTGACAGGAGTCTGTGACCCTCAAACAGTGTGGTGAGTCATGGAAAGAGTGAACTCACCCGTATAGGGTTTAATCTGTCCTCCTCTGATAGATTTCATTTCTGCCTGGCAGGCTCTGCTCAGTTACATGGTGTCTGACCTGGCTATTGAAGTAGCAGCAGAACCACTTACCAAAGACTCCTCTCTGGATGGAGAGTGGGCATTAATATTCATGAGCTGTTACTTATTTACACTGGTAAATATTAAAACTTCTGTATAACACCATTTGATCTCTCTGAGGGATAATTGTCTTTTGACAGAAATGCACAGCTACAGTGAGCTTACTAAAAGCTGTTTGTTCTAAATAATACTGATTTATTTGAGAGAACAATATATTTTAATGGACTTGGTTTTCTGTTTGTAAGCACTTGCCAAGATTAAGTAACAATAAGTTTGTAAACTGATGATAGCAAGTAAAAGTGGTTCAGAGTCCTGACAGAGCTTTGAAAATTATTATTTAAAGAGAATGTTCATTATAACTGTATTAAGGAAAAACAGTGGGGAAACTGGGTCCATATCAATTGTTCTTTAACCACGCTATGAGCAAACAAATAGATAAGGTTAATGAGACAATAATCTCTCGCTGCAAGATTCTTCATTTCCAAAGCTAAACATGTTCTGCTGAAATAGAGGTCTTTCAATAAGAAGCTTGCTGGTTCTAAAGGTGATAATGAGCTCTAAGCATCCAGTGAGGAAAGTATTTCTTGTTTCTAAATCCATTACTATCTGCTTCTCCAGCTCTAGAAACATGGTATAATGTGCATTTTCTTGATCCTCCATCTCTTCTTTTGTTTTCTGTAGTCATACGCTGAAGGAAAAAAAACATACCAGGCAATAAAGCACGGTTAATCTTTGAAACCTGTGTGTGACCCCCTTGCTTTCCAGTGGATTGTGCCAGTGCTGTCACAAATTAATGAAAATAGGCATCACCATGGGCTTCATCAATCAGCCAAAGAAATGGCAGTTTAGTTATTATGATAGTTTAGTGTTGTTATACCATTTACCAAAGAATGGATAGGCAGAATTTGTATGTAAAGAATTGAAGGCTGGAATCCATCCTTGCTTGAAGGAGCAATGTTTATAGGGAAGTCGACAAAATGTAACTCTCTGACCAAGCAACTGGTGCAAAATGAAGAACAAATTTATAATTGTTAAATATCCATAGACTCTAATGCTTTTTCAGGGGGGTTCATTTGACCAAGAAATGCACCACGTGAATTGGGACCATCTTTTCCATTCTTTAGAACCATAGATATGAAATAAAGAGATGCTAAACAATTCTGATTACGTCCATCCTGATTTTTCATGGAAAATCCTGTCTAGCAATACAGATGCATTTTAAAGATAAAAAGAAACATAGAAAATGTTCTCAATTCCAAATGTAACATACTGTTTTCTGTCTCTCTGTCTCCAGCTCAATTTCAATTCTGTTTTGGCTTGAAATTTTTGATACTCTTCAAACTCCTCTTCACAGTACTTCAGATATTTGACTTCTCTTTCCAAGTAATCGAGTACCTTGGCATGCTGTAAACACAGTGACAAACAAGAGTCATTGCATGCTCAGAGACACAGATCTCTTGCTGTTGATATGAATGGTATTAATATTTTATCTAAATTGGAAATATAAATATATAAATATATAAACATACTTATCCCAGTAGTTTGCAGCAAAACAATACAAAGATATGACCAGCTTCAGGCACAAAGAAACCATAAACTACAATACTTTGGTAGTACATTATGCATTTATTTTATCAAGGATTCTGTGTTTTAGTTTTTATTAATCTGTTCTACAGCCTAGTGTTTTTCAGTGAATACTTCGATAACAATGAATATAATCTAAATATTAGTGACTGTTCTTTGGTTGATAATTCTGCACCCTAAAGAGCTTAGTTCCAAAGCACAGGTAATCCGTGCAGAAGCAATGTGTTTCCTCAGAACACTCAGCTCCTGCCTTGCTTTGGAGAAGTTATTTTTACTAAAATGAAGCTGCTGATGTGATGTTTTATTGCAACCTACTGCACCTCTGTGCGTGACAAACCTTTATGGGATGTTTATAAACCATTTAAGTGCCTACATAAACATTAAACTGCAGTAGAACGGGAAGATGGTTTTGTGATGTAAGAGTAACAGACTAGGCAGCAGGCAAGACTGCTAGACTGACACAATAGCTCAATCTTTGGCTGGGAGGTGGAGGAAAAGAAAAACTGAAAACTATGTAGAAAAAAAGAGAAATTAAAACTGCTTGCATTGTTCCCATGGCCTTTTGGTACAGATAGTCCTTATTTCAAGTGCTTGAAGGAGTGGGAATGTTAGTAACAGATTTCAAAATGTACTTTCACTGAACTAGAACCAGAAACAAAGGCATGTAAATTGAATTACCAAATTATAAGGAAATACTTAACACAAATGTGGACAAGAAGGTGTAAAGAAAAAGGAATTCAGTATATATACATTGCTATGCACTCTAAAACACTGTTTTACTGCATGAAAGGTGTAATTTTATAGATGTGGCAAAAAATGCTGACCTCTTAATTGTGTTTTCATGTAGCCAGGTTGGAACAGTGGAATTCTGCCACCTGTCACAGAGATTTCCTTTAGCTGACTCTTACCTAAGCTCTGTACAAAGCCAGCTTGGCTACAGGTGGTCTTGGGAGAATATTGCTGTACTTATCTCAAATTAATTGCCATTATTTGAAGGCATTTTTCTCTAGGCAGACTTGTTTCTGTGTTGGAGTTTTCAGGAAAAAGTGTCAAAGAGATTTTATAAAAATTCTTACTAACCTCATTACTAGAAGGGTGACATAATGTTTGACAGATTTCCAAAATGTGCAGAACTCCAAGATTGTCAGAAACAGCCAGAAAATGCTGCTCTGCTGAAAGATATTTGACAAAAAAGTATAAACAATCCAAATTCCAACAGCAGCATGAACCTCCACCCAAAGACAAACTACAGAGGGTTTTGTTTTTTTCTGGTCTTTTTAGTTTGTTGTTCACTGCAGAAAAAAACCCTCAACCTTTTTGCTCTGTTATTCTATTAATCCCTTTAATGTTTTTCTTTTAACAGACTGTTTTTAATGAAATATTTTCAGTTGCTTTTATGCCATGGTAGTACACTTAGAACTGAAGTATCCATTTTTGTATGTACAGTGTTAAATTTATGGAAGTATGTACTTACACAAGATCATTTGTAATAAGATTTGTGTACCTCAGTCATGGGCCATTTTGCAAATAGGGTAGCACAGTAAAGCACAACCACCATGCACATACCTGTGGCACTGGAGGGGCTGATAAAAGTGATGGTTGATTTGGAGATGTTCTGGAAATGAGATGGCTCATGAGTTTTCTTCAGTAAGTCCCAAATATCTATATTTCCATTGTCTCTGCCAATGAAGAAAACTCCTGGTCTTGTTAAGGACCATTGTCCCGCAGTGTATCTTCCTGCAGAGCAGCTTGACTGAAGGATTGGTCCATTCTTAATTTTTTTTGAAAACAAAAGGTAGACCAGGCAATCAAACAGTACTATCAAGTCACTACTTCAGATCTTCTGTCTTTGGAAAATGCTCAAAATTTAAATGGTCCCATTACGAAAATTATATAAATGGCAAAATTCCTGTACCTGCTGCAGATAAAAAGGATTGTAGGGAAGTAAAAAACCTGGTATCTCACTTCCAGTCTCTTCAGGTAATCTGTCTGTCTGCTGTTAAAATCTGTGGTCTGGAGATTTTCTCAGGTGCAGCTAACCTGGGCTCCTACCTGAGACACTTAAAAACCCCCCATGTTTCTTTGTTTTCATGTGATGAAAAAAACCTTGTCCTAAAATACAAGTTCTTCAAATTTGTTCAGCAGTCATTTCCCTAGCAGGAGAAATGAATGGTTGGGAAGCTATGATTTTTACAAGGCTGGAATTTAAGAAAGTCACTTCACTTTTTCTGTAAAAGGCAAGTTTACTAAGCTTTATCTAAAATAATTTTCTGATGTGAAGATGGAAAGCTGTGTTAAATTAACTTACTGTAACTCCTTCTTTCCAAATGGCAAACTTCTGGCCTCCAATGCTTAGAAAGATGTCTTTAAAAAATGGAGATTTCTGGAGAGTGTTGATAGTTTCAGTGTGGAGCGCGTATTTCTGGGAGTGCTTCTGACCTAAGGGAGGAAAAAGGCAGTTGCTTGTTACTGGTGCCTTAGGGATCAAGAAACAAGAGTGCAGGACTTACCACAGCCCTGGAAGATATCACCCTCTTTTTTTTACTCACAAGGTACAGGAATTTGCTTTGCCACAAATCTAGTTACTTCCCTGATTTGTGCCAATATCTTTGTACTATTTTCTCATGCTAGCTAAAGTGCTTTCACTTTTGAGGGTGCACTGTTAAATCCAGGTGTTACCAGTGAGAGAGACTATTAGAGCTATGAGCAAGAACCTTAAAAAGACAAAGTATAGACACAAATATTTTAAAGTTAGTGATATATTAAGGCTTAAACAAGTATTGAGAAACTTGAACTTACTAACTGGTTTTGCTGTATTAGTATCAATTTTCTTTTTCCATTCAGAATAAACAACTTCTCCATCCTGTAATGCCAAAAAAAGTCAAGCAAATGCTAATGTTAGAGCTTGGTGGCTTATTTCAAAGTGACTTATTTTTAAGTTGGGACTTTTCTTAATTATAACCATTGATGCCAAGATGATTTTTTGCCTTTTCTTTTATATACCTTTTATATAAGTTTTACGTATCCTCAGTATTTTTAGCATGAATACTTGTAATTCCTTAAGTCTAATACCTTAGCATAGCCCTAGTGTTCTGTTAGCCAGGAGACCAGACATCCTAAAGGCCTCGTAACAGGAGGCTGGAAAACCCTACATTATCTTGGGAAACCAAGGTCCCCTCTAGAACATAGCCTGTAAACTGGAGATTTGGCCCATCCAGGGGGAATTCCTCAGATGGGGGAATATCATGCCATTCATCCAGACCTCCCATTGGGGATAAGCTAATTTGGAAGGTATAAATTGTGTACAAGATCTGTCGCGTGTGTGCATTGGGTCATAGCCCACCTTGGCAAAGTGGTGCACCAGTAATGCTCCTTATAAATACTGAGGTAAAAACCCCTTATCCCTTAACCCTGTCTAGTTCTTGATTTTTAAGACCAGGGAAAGGCATCACCATCATTAAATATGATCTGAGTAAATGAAAACCTGAATTTGCAGCCAATGACTGAAAACACAGTATAGTTTTCATCACCAGTTTTCAGTTATGAATTGCCAAAACTGCTTTACTTGCCATGATGCATGTAGACAGTTCTTCCTGCAGAATTAGGTGTTTGGTTTTGATAGTTCATGCTTTGCTCCAGTATTTGGGGAAAAGCTGACTGGAAGCAAAAAGGTAGCTAGGAGCCTAATTTTCATTTCCATATGAACTCAGAATTGGGAAAGACCCATGAATTTTAGTAGCATAGGGTAGGTAGCGGGTTATGAATAGTTGGAATTTCCAGAGGGGAAATTAAGTTGGGGGGGCAAACTGAAAAATAAATGTTTTCACGTGACATGTGGGAAGACACTAAAAAAAAATTACTAATCTTATGTGTTCTGGAACAAGGAAATATTCTTTGGTTCCTAATAGGTGGTTAAGCTCAATATATTTTGGAAATGTCTTCTAATTCTGCTCTTGAAGTAAGGGTTCAGTCTACTGAATATTGGAGGTTTATTATTTTTAAACATGTAGCTAAAATTATTAATAATGTATTAATTAATAATAGAATTAATTAATATTAATAATGTATTAAAGTGGAAGTAAAAGGTGGCATGTTCAGAGAGATCTTTTAGTTATACCTGAAGAAAACATGCAAGTCCATACATTTGTGTGCGAAAACTCTGTTATTTAACTCTTCAGTATTTCAGATATCTTGGATTAACATTTTCATTGGAAATACATTATTTTCACTTACTTCGTTTCCAACAAAGAAGTCTGTGGATATATTCTCTAGCAGTTCCAGATTTTTGCTTGAAGAAGTACTCATCTCTGTATATGAGCTCTCTTTGGTGGGTGCTCTTAGTGTGCTCCGAGATCTTGCCCTCCCTGGGAAATGACAGTGACATCTTTTTGTTACACACTAGAATTATTAGACCAGGCAAATCCTTTGTCTTGTAAAGGTAGTTTGTGGATAAAGGGAATTTCAAGAAGAGATATGAAGCAAGGCTGCCAAGTAAAGCAGCTGTTCTGTAGGTTTACTGTTTTCTGGTGGAGTCTCCCCATTGCTGCAACTCTGAAGTCAGAGTTTCTTATACGCAGACAGTGCTTAGGGTGGCACCATCCTGTTCTGTGCCAGCTTTACACAGCACCGGTGTCTCCGTGGGAGCTGCCCTTACACATCACCCATAGCTGCCACTACCAGGAGCTAACGTCTCTGCTCCAGGGAATGGATTATGTTTCTAAAAATAGTTTTCTGTAATGGCTGAAAAGGACATATTGTTTCAGGGATAAAGAGATTGGGTGAGGGATTTGCATAGGCTTTTAAGTGAAATTGGATAGAGTCACTGTGTATATGGAATTGTTCAGTTTGGATTTTTACATGTACATCTCTTCGTAGTCAGTACATGTAGTTCACACACTGAATACCACTATACTTAAGAAATCTTTTTCTCCAGATGTGTTCAGCTATACAGTACTTTGTTGCTCAGCTTTTATTATGTATATACTGAAATACAAGCTTATTGAAAACATTTTCCTCTGTAAGGTGTAATAAAAATATTACCTGGGGGTTTGTAACGATACTGCAGTTTCCCTAAACTGATTCTCGTGGGACCATACTCTGTGTTGTTATCCCTTTCACGCAGATTTATCTGTTCAGAAAGAAGCATTTGCTAAACCATTTTGTCAGATCTTCGAGGTACAAGTCTAAATTACTTTCTGCTGTAATGGAACAGATCTTTGCAGTGTGTTTGTAATACTCCACAAACAGTATTTTCTGCCTCACATACAAGCATGGGAAAAATGGTGCTTGTGTTACCTTCTTTCTGTAAGAATTTTTCTTTGTTTCTAGCAAAAAAGCCCAAACAACCCCACTCCAGTGGTCATGCTTGTTCAAAAACTGTGTCTGCTGCAGGTATTCTGAGTAGCACAGATCAGCATGACTAAAATTATAACTTCTTTTTCTTACCTAACATTGTTTTCATCCTCACTTTTTTTTTTCACAAACTGCTATGTCTGTTTTCATGAGAATGTTGGTTTGTTAGTTATTATGGTTCTGCTGATTATGACCATGTTGCACTATTTGGAACCCACTGAGACAGACAGTAGAGCATCCAAAAAGGTTGACAGGAACTTACAGTATTTACACAACTACTTTTGCACCTTCTGCAGTTTTTTAGAAGCAGTCATGCTGTTTTTCATGAATTAGCTTTTCAAAATGCATTTTATTGAAGTTTTAAAGGAATATTGAAATATTTCATTTCATAATCTGAAAGAAAATCACAAGGAAGTCACAATTTGCTGGAAAAAATAGAATTGGGAAGCAAAATACTTTCCTATGGAGTTCTGGCCATATCTACAGTTTGGCTTGATCTCTGTGTTCTATATTTGTGGACACTACCTTTATGAGAGGTTTCCAGGAGAGATCTAAATCCTCATCAGTGTTTGGATCATCATGGGGCATGCGAGATCTTTTCTCCTCCTTCATTTTCTCAGATAAAAATTGTTCACGACGTTCAATGGATGGAATAGCCCAAAATAATATTGAGCTGCAAAACAATTGTATAATGTATATTTTATAGTGTTTTGGTTTGCAACTACATGCAATTTTCCTTACATTTTAAGGCTTGAGTTTTTTTAACCTTTTATCTTCAAGCCTTTTATAACAGTAGAGACTCTGAAAATCAGACAAAGGCTAGATAATTAATTGCTCCTTTTGCAAATGATTAAATATATTTCTTTATTCACCCTTTCATCAGTTTATTATACCAAAGCAGCTAGATAGTATTCATCCAGTTTGCTTATGGACAGTTATTGGGTGAACATACTGGCACTGCCTGGGTAAAATTCCTGAAGGCTGTAGCAGGTAATTTAGTAACTCAAATTGAAGATCAGTCCCAATTTTTGTGTGTACCAATTAATTTGCGGACATTCAAGGCAAATGGTCCCACTCGCATTTGTGATCTCATTGGAATCTTCAGCCCTCTGATTGTTCCTTTTGTTCTACTCTGGACATTCACTCACAGGTTTGATACAGCCAATGAATCTTTCCTCATTGCTGATATCTCTCTCCCTTTTCTAACAGGAGTTGCTCAGGGACCTGCACGCTTCAAGTATGACATTACAGTGACTTCCCTGTTCTTAACTTCAGTAAATACTTTCAATTTGGAACCCTGGAAGATGTCTTGTAGAGTATGTATTGTACATACCAATCAGGGGAGCAGGTTACAAGCTGCAGCTTTTTTTCATCTTTGTTTTCAGAAGTACCACCCTTTTGATTTTCCTGAAAATAACAGTAATAATTATTACAGGGGAAGAAGATGATGAAAGACAAAAATCACACTCTGATATGTAAGTACTTCAACACACAAAACAGGCTACTAGAAATTAAGTCCCTGTTTCTGCTTGGCTAAGGTTTGAAAATCAGTGCTCATTAATTTGCATTTATAAAGTCAAGATATTTTACAAATATGCTTCAAGTGAACTGATGTCAGCTTTTCCTGCTACACACCTTAAATTCTAAATTAACTTAGCAGGATAAATATTTACTGGTACCACTGCAAGTCAGGCCCTCTTTAACTTGCCAAGTTTGTAACTTCTTTTATGCAGCTTAACCAAAGAGCCAGTAATTGAGAAATTTGTCTCCAACAGTTCAGTGTAGTGGGAGTGATGTGCCTTTGCCAAGTTTACACCATGGGTCATCTATCCTAAATTACCACTTGGCTAGACCTCACTGTGAGATTGTAGTGGTGCCTTCAAATGTTAATTATTTATAGTTTAGTTTGTGTATCTGGGGTTCTGCAGGTTTTATACTATTTATCATTTACCAAGTAGTTATTGGTTTATACCAAATTAATTTTAATTACTCAGGAGAAGAAAGGAAATATGTCAGAGGTAACAAGGGATTATAGGCTAATCAAATCTAACTTCCAGTATGTAAAAAACAGATATATTTTGGCAAAAACTGTACTTATCAAGTATGTGGCAAAATTTCAGCTATTTTTTTTAAAGCCAAATTAGGCCTACTCTAATTTTCATTCATGAGTTTGTCTACCTGGAATCACAATGGTAGTAATGCAGGCAGGCAAAGCTGAATTAGATTCTGGATATAACTTTGAATAATTTTTCATTAATATGTAATTATAAAACTGCTGATTTTATGAGCTGTGTCATAAAAACTGCTATGTTGTGCAAAGGCTGACACATATTCCATGTTTATATAACAAAAAGTATGTCCCAGTACATGTTGCTAAATACTGGCAAAGTGACTCCTTTGTCAGTGTTATTTATTAAGCATGGATCTCCTGTATCTGTTATCCCAGATGAACACAAAAACAGCCTTCTGAGCCTAAACTTTGACTAAAAAAAACCCCACCCAAACAACAAAAACCACAACAATGTTCTGCTATCCAATCCCTTTCTTCATGCTTTTCATCTGGTACTAGTTAGTATCCATGACTATTACTGTATAAAACAATAATGAACAGTGGGATCAGCTGACATTTGATGGTATATGTGTGTCCCTTTTCTCACTTTTCTGGAAATGCCACTAAGAACTGTAGTATCTGTGAAGTCTTAATTTTTTTTTTTTTAATTTATTGATATATAATTTCCATAAAACTTTTAAAGATTTCAGTTTTCTTCTTCTTGGCCTGCTTTTCCACTGTCATTATTTTGCATTTGGCTACATTTGCATTTCAATTGAATTTGGCACCATTTGCAATACTTTGATAGTAAATCAGCACCCTGTGTTCCTATACACTGTAAGTACTTTAGAGCTTTAAAACCATAATGAAAAAAGTAAGTTTTGAGTAGACAGGCAGCATCCAGAAAAATTAAGGTGACTACAATAATGCCATTCTTGGGTATCCAGATATTTAGGTATTTAAGTTATTTCTTGGAATTTTTAGTGACAGGCTAGATTGCTCATAGTAGAAATTCAATACATTTTAAACATGGAAAGCTTACTATAATTTTGAATTATGCTTGTCTGTAAAGTTAAGGAAAGTTTTTCCAGTAGCAGCAGATTCATGTCAGACTGAGAGCACAGCACAGTTGTAAAGCACAACGAACACAGCAGATTATTAGTATTTACTAAATGCAGTGAGAAATAATGGATACAAATAATTAACTCTAGTATTTTCTCTTGAGTTGACATTAAGATTTCTGAAGTAGTAGATTAGAAAAGCAATAAAAAGAGAAATGAGATTTTAAACTCACCTCAAGGTTACATGGTAGCCACTGTACATCTGTTGGTGGCTTTGTATGACAATATGGTGTGGAAGAGGCTGCACAGTGTCTCACTAGAGGTGGCTCTAGCCTACTCTGCTGGACTCGCTTAGGGAATGGCTAGACATGTTTTAAGAAAAGATATCTTAGTGTGTTTTCAAAATAGAATAGTAGATCTATCAAAGAACAAAAGGTTACTTTGCATTCTGTTAACACTTTTTTATGTATTTCAGATCAGTTTATAGAACTTTTTAGGGGTCTAATACCTTCCATTTGAGAGAAAAAATTCAGCAAAACAGGCCTTTGGATATAAAGCTTTAAAAAGATTTCCAACATGCCTCCACAGACAGGCAGACATCATTAATGTCACCTCTCCTCTTAGGGTTTTCTTTTGCTTATCCTCCTTACTGTCTTTTTCTACTGAAATCATCTTCTCATCTTCCAAGCTACCTTTTCTCTGTTCATAAAGATCTAGAATACTTTCAGTATTGCTTTCAGTAACAAACAATATCTATATTTGACAGGCTTTGTAAGGTAAGAGTGGAGGGTGTATTGGTGCCCATTAAAGAACAGACTCACTGAAACATAAGTTGCACGAAGTGCAGTAAACCTTTTAAAGGTGTACTAACAAGTAAAAATTATACCATGATAATTGTGATAATGGTTTGATTTCATGAACTCGTCAGGTTTCTTATCCTTTCTAGTGTCTCATTGCAAAGATTACCTACTCCTCTCTTTTGAGTCAGGATATCCTCTCCTGTTTTGCCTCCACAGACATACAGATACACTGCAATGTACTTACAACAGAAGCATTTACCATATTAACAGCTGTTATCTTCATTTCACAGAATCATAGAATGTTAAGGGGTTGGAGTGGACCTTAAAGATCATGCCCAGCCCCCAGCCATGGGACACCTCCCACTAGACCAGGTTGCTCAAGGCCTGATCCAACTTCACTTTGAACACTGTCAGGGTTGGGGCATCCACAGCCTCCCTGCGCAACCTGTGCCAGTGTCTCACCACCCTCACGAAGTAAACAATTTCTTCCTAAATCTAACCTAAATTTCCTCTCTTTTAATTTTTACCCACTACTCATTGTCCTGTCACTACAGTTGCAAACCAAGAGTCCTTCTCTGGCTTCCCTCTAGATTCCCTTCAGATACTGGGAGGTTGCTATGAGGCCTTCATGCAACCTTCTCTTCTCCAGGCTGAACTGCCCCAACTTTCTCAGTCTTTGTAAAGGAGGTACTCCAGTGCTCTTATCAACTGTGTGGCCCTTCTCTTGCTCCAACAGTTCCATGTCCTTCTTGTGTTGGGAACACCAGAGCTGGATGCAGTGCTCAGGGTGGGATCTCACCAGAGCAGAGAGGCAGAATCCCCCTCCATTGCCCTGCTGGCCATGCTGCTTTGGATGCAGCCCAGGACTCAGCTGCTGTTCTGTGCTGCCAGTGCTCAGTGCTGGGGAACCCCTGTACACCATATCCAGCCATCAGCCCTGGAATTACCTCAGCCACCACTGCTGCTGCTGCTCTTGGCTCACCCTCTGAGTCAATGATTTCATCAGCAACAGGCTTTGTACTTTCCAGCTTTTCTTCATGTTTAGAAATATCCCACAATACAACCTGCAATGATAAATTAATATATTACAAATTATATTTGTATATGTGTATTAATATGCTGTGCATGAATACCCTTTTTTTCAAATTGTGTAGGTTTGGGGAAACAGAACAAATTCACTCTCTGCACTAGAATTTATGAAGTCTTTGAAGTATTTTCTCTTCAGCTTGATGCAATTAGAAGAAAGGTTACATGTGTCTCTAAAAAGCAGTCTTTACAACTTGACCTATTTATCAGTACTACAAAGCATTGTATGGTAATGGTTCAGCTGTGGAATAACCAGGCATAGCTTCAGCTCAGGATAAGAGAACTTCAAGACTCTGTGACATCTGTCTTTTGTCTGTCTGTGTGTTACTATGGATGTTGAGTACATCTCTTCACCCTTATTTTCATACTGGAAGAAAATACAGAAATGTGCTATTTTATTTTTAAAAGATTGAAAAACCTGTCCATCGACACAGCCACCAGCAATGATATTTGGATCACTTGGACTAAACTGAAAGCAGCAAATATCTTCAGGAGCCTTCAACACCAACTAGAGAGAAGAAAAACAAGATAGTTGAGACATAGTCACACCATTTGTTTGTTCTCATGTTATTTAAATACTTGGCATATTTAAAAGTCATGATTAAATACCTGGAGGCAGAGAGGGTCAAACAAACTCCAGAAAAGTACAACTGACTGGTGTAGCAATGATTTATTAGAAAGGTTAACTTGTTCTTCATATGAAGGCTGCTCTCTTGCTGACAGTGCTATAATCCCTAATCAAAAGAGAAAATAAATTTTCTCAAAAGAGACAAGTCAAGTTTCAACACATTGATAATTATCCTAAATTACTTATATTTATACCTTCTGAATACAGTGAAAAAAACCCCACCAAGCAGAAAAGAAACCCCAAACAAACTAACCATGTATATTTCTATTTTTTCAGATCTGCTTTGAGGAGACTATTTTTGTTAGTTAACATTAGGTTATTTTAAAATGAGTCATAGAACATATGCATCAGGATAAAACTCCTCTTTTTCCTCCTGCTCCTCAATGGTGTAATACTGCACCTGAAATGATGTGACAGACATGTAGTCCTGGCCACCCACCTTGAAAACAAATCTTTGTAACCCAGTTAATTTTCTTACTCAGGCTGCAGTGTTGGCTAGTAGTATGCTGGGAGCTGGGGCATTTACATAGGACTTTATTGTGCCTCTAGGTCTGGCCATGCAGAGCAATAATGCACAGCAGGGAGCAGGAGTTGACATTTTGTGTGTCTTGTGATGCTCTCTGGCACTCGGCAGAGCCATGTCCTGCTGTGGCTGTGACATTCCCCACCAGTATTAGGCATGCTATTGAGAGCCAGGCATGGGCACAAGCACAATGGTATGCAGAGCCATCTGAAGAGTCTGGCACCACAACCCTGCTTAAATGAACCTCATGGGGGGAAATTTCTCATACCTATAATCTCCACTTGTGCATTAGGGTAAAGGACTTTGCATGGCCCATATGAATTCTATGAAGAATTTGTCTCATTTTGCATTTTCCCTCAAATTGGCAATTCAAACAGGGATACTAAATCAGTTTTGATTTCTTTTTAAATTTGAAAGCTGATGGTTTTATGAAAGATGCATATTTTATAGCTGTCATATAATACCCATCATTGAAAACTCAAATCAGTACTGTAACTGCATTACCATAAATGGTTGGATGCCAGCGAACGCAGCTAATGGTTCTGTTCTTGAGATACTGCACATCTGTAAATGATTGGTATTCTTTAAGATAAACATCTGGCTTGCCTTCTTCTTGGTCTTCTGCTAGGGCCTTCCAGTCATCAAAAAAAACGTTCATAATTTCATTTTGCTGCAGTGCAATTTCCACTCTGTTTTGTGAAAAGAACAGTTAACGCTTCAATAATCCAGATGTGACTACTCAATAGTAGAATTACAAATATTTCTGTAAAGAGGTAGCTTCTGTTTTTCACAAAATCATGATCACATTATTTAAAAAATCAAGTATTAATTTCTCAGTGATGTATCACTGCAAGGAAACCATCTTCTGTTTAAACAGAAATAGCTACTGTATCTGGTTCTTTGTGGACCAAGTACAGAGCAATTGTCCAATCCTTTGTGCAAAAAATGTCATTAAGTAGGACTTGTCCCACTTAATGGGACATGGCTAAGGGCCATGGGTGGGACAGCACCTTTGCTCACTGCACAACCGTCTGCTTGAGTGGGTGGTGTTTGAAAGGTCAGCTTTGCAGTTTGTTTGGAAAGATGTATCACCATCTACTCTAGGAGTTCTGATATCTATTTAAAGCAACATTCATATCTATATAGCATAGACTTCATGGTTATTTTCATATAAACAGGTATTAAGTTATTTTTTGTTAATATTGTAATAATAAAAAAGGAAAAAAAGAATATAGAAACAAAAAATAAAATTGGTATTTGACTAGACCAATGATCCATTCAGACAAGAGTACTTGCTTGTATTCTGTATTATTTCAGGTAGTCTTCAAATGTACTGCTGAAATAATTTTACCTTAAATGTACTGCTGTAAGAAAATTTTTCAGGGTCTCAGATGACAGACTCTCTGCTTTTGCTTCATTTGACAGCTGCCTTGGATAATACTGCGTGGATGCATTTTTTGGATAGGTCCTACCCAATTGGAATAAATTTGAATGTAAGTATAGAAAACATTTCAAAGACAGAAACCTATGCAATGTTTAAAATTAAAATATATAGTTTTTCTAGACACTTTAAAAAAATATTTAAGAAAAAAGATGCAAACAGAGCGTCCAATATTTTCTATTAATCAGTTTGTAACTGAGTAACTCCAGAATTTTAGTTGAGATAAGAAACAGTGCATAGCTTAATAAATAAGCTGATAAATGTTTTCTCATGCTTACCATTTTGTCTGAGTACTAGTTTCTCTTAGTTTTGGAACCATTTGCACCCCCACATCCCTTTCAAGTATTTTAATACTGAAAGTATCATCTTCATAGGCCGTGCATTCAGCATAGCTGTCTTTTTCATCTGCAGCATTCTTGTCAGTAAATGTAATGGGTGCACCAAACATCCTGCGAACTCGAGAGATCTTGTACTTAATCTGGAAAAGATACATTTCCATGGCTAGCAGAAAAGAAAGCTTTTGGAAAGTGCATCCTTTAAAATGTCTGTATTCATATAATGCAAAATTAGTTAACGTTTTCTGTGTTAAGCTTACTCGTATTTCTGCATTTTGAAATTCTGAAGTGCTCTTATAAATAAACTACGTATGTAATAGAAGACAGGTTTGTATTTGTAAAACTAGAAGTTGTAGCATTTTTGGATTACTGCTAGTAGGACAAGAGAATTACATTTTCTAATTCATCCAGTATCAAAACTGCACATTTAATTAAATGATTGATTTACAGGAAGCCTTATATATAATACTGAATTAGGCTTCCAATTAGGCTAATTTTCAGCTCTTCCCTCTTGGTGGAATTCTTAACTTTGGGAGAGGTATTTCAACTTCCTCTGCAGTGCCTAGGGTGAGAAAAGTACTCCGAAGAAGATGCAGAAAAGTTCAGAAGAGTGTCCTTATGTTGAGAACTATGAAGGATGAAGGGACATGTCTTGACTTCTGCTCACAAAGAGAAGTAGGTGCTTGATTTTGGGCAGTAGAGAGGTATTGCTTTGTCTTGGTTTCATATCCAGGTACTTTTTCCTAGCACCTCCCACAGAACTGGAAAGGAAAGGAAGCTAAAAATAATTTTAAGTGGACCTTGCCAACAATACAGAATGCAAAATACAGAATTCTTGGACTGTGCATGTATTAAACTGAATGACTGTGAAATAGTTTTAGAGCAATCAGACATCTTTTTAGGTGTAAGCAAGATGTTCAGTTGCTATTAAAAAATCTTAGCCAGTCTTCCCTGAAGAGGGACTTAGGTACTGAGTAAAAATCACTCATGGACAGTTAGATACTTGGAGATGCCCCACACATCACCAATTAGGTAACAGCTGTGATTGGATCTAGTTTTTGGACATATCATCGTCTCTCTCTATATACATATATATAATCTGTAGATGTAATTAATCACATATGTCCTTCTGTAAAGTCATCTTGTAATACCTGTGGATACTTAAAGACTATTGCATGCTACTTAAATGCCATTCATATACTAGAACACTTCACTGAGCTTCATGGAAACAGAGCAATGACTCCCTTGTCATCTGGTCACTTGGTAAATTGAGCAAAAAGTGGCAGAGGTGCCAGTGATCAAAGATGATCAGGACTTCTGATCTTAAACCTTAAAAAATAGTTATGTCCAAGGTGGTGATACATACCTAATCTGCAAGACTTAAAGAGAACATAGCTCAAAATAAAAGTTTCTGCAGCACTTTCAGCTTTTGTTAAAAGTTTAGCTATTTCTCTATTTCTCTCTGTTAGTTTTCATGAAAGACCTCAAGAAAAACTAGGATTGCAACTTCCAATTTCCTGACTTGTTTTTTTAAGGAACTTAAAATAAACATAGGGAGTTTATATTTATTTCATTGACTAACATCTGTTGATTCTGACCTTTGTATCCCTTTCTCTAACAGATTCTTCTTCAACTTCCTTTTCGCTGCCAAGGGAAACCCAAGGTTTGTGGACTTCCAGAGTTTCCTCTATGTTTTCTTCTTCTGTTTCTTCTTTTTCTTCAGCAGCTGCTAAAGACTTTGATATCAAACAGTGAGAAATGTTACTCTTTCAAAAATTTGTTACTGAAATGTAAGTATTAAATAGAAACACATGTTTCAGTTTTCACTCACACATTCTTTACTTTTGTCTCTGTGCAGTGAGTCTGGGTATACTGTGGCCCTGCATAGGGCTGGCTTAGGTCCTGTTCATTTGTGCATTAGAATTTTCCAATAATATTTAATATCTAACTACTAAAGTGAGACTGTTGTCTTGAAAGCAAATAATTTTATAGAAAAAGAATTTATAGTGATTTTTTCCATTAGGTCCTCTAGACTGGAACAGCATTTTACTTTTCTTAGTTTTTGCTTCTCCTGATTCCCTGATGCTGGATGGCAAACTCATATTGAAAAATTATATAATCTTTCTATAAACATTCTCGTACAGTGAACAAGTTCTATTTATCTAGAGCTATTTAGAACTCAAGAACATTTTCATTATTTGAAGAATATATTCATAGATATTATGAAAAATAAGTATAATACTTATTTGAAAATGTTCTATATGTTTATTTTCTGTTATTTTTATGTCTGAGAAACCTGATGATTGGCAGAGAAAATGAATGCTTATGATAAAAAATGCAGCAGTGGGGGTTATACTGGCCCTCTGATGCAAAATGCAAAACCTTAATTTAGCCCTCCTCAGAATAAAATATATTTTTACAGTGATATACATATTTTTCCATTATCAGCTTAACCATTAGAGAAATACTGGGCGCTTAACAATACCATTCCTGACATCTTTGTTTGAGACTAGATTCTGAAATATTTATAGAGAGAACAATGCTCTGGTATAGTTGGATTTTACCTTTAGAAAATTTTCCTTGGCTTCTTCAGAAGCAACAATGTAAAAGTTCTGTCCATACTGGAAGCTTGGATCAAAAATTACCAAGAGTTCTTCCCCTGGATATTCCTATTTTAATGAAAAAAAAATAGTGGAAAACTGAAAACAAAAAATACTCAAAACAAACATAAGGTTGTGACTGGAAAAGCTAACACCAATTTAGTATGTTAAGTTGATTTTGTATTCTTAGTGGAGAATTTCATGTGCCAACTGAAAGGAATAGATGGGGTCTATTTTGTAATAAAAATGAGTGTGGGACAAAACTAATCTTTCCTACAGAGAATTAAACAGAAAATAAACTGTCTTAATAATTTTCAATAAATAGGCCATGAATTAGGGGAAGCCAAATATGTGGAACTCTCTCAGTTCACAGAATCAAAACTAATATATGTTGCTTTTAGCATATTTTCAATCTGAAGTTAGTAAAAAAAAAATGCATGGCAAGCCATGAGAAACTTTGAGTCAACAACAGTCCATGACCTCTAGCACTCAGATATTACAGCATCAGTGTGTTTGCACAGAGTCAAACAAGAACAGACCCACTCTTCAAAAGAATGGACACTCTGAGAGCATAAGTCTTAAAGTGAGAATGAAATATGCTACATACTAGGATGACTTTATTGAGAAGGTGGAAATCAGAAGATTTAGCTCTTGTTTCCAGGTCCTGAATTATATCCTCTTTTTTAATACACTTGAAAAAAATTTCTTCTGTGACATCTTCATCAGGTTGGCAATTAAAAATTTCTTGGGTCTTTGCAGTCAAATGCAAAGGAAAGATTTCTGGGTGGCCTTTGAAAAAAAGCAAAATTGCATGATAACTTCAGAGTGTTGTTTAAACATGCATGTATACTTTGATAACACTGTGTCTTTACTGTTTCTAGCATAATGCCTTTGAATCTCTCAGCTTTGTTTTTGGTATTTTGGAAGGCATGAAATACAAATTATATTTCTTTTATTTATCTTTGAAAATACTCTACCCAACATTTTGCACATAATGAATATTATTTCCCTGGTATGGGGGGCTTTTTTTCTTCTTGATGAACAGGTTATTAACAACTTCAGTGAAAAATATTTAATGGGATTGGTTTTAATATATTAGGGGCAAAACTGCATGGTTCTGACTTAAAGCCTTTGAATAAATACCCTGTGGTCCTTCCTTGTAGGGCAGCACCATATTAAGCCAAAGTTTAATCTAGGTGAGGCTTCTCCCAAGTAAGGATGCTTTTCTGATCTTGGACTTTCATCTGGCTCCCACTGAGTTCAGAGTGCAGGAGAGACTATTTCTCACTAATCAAATGAGACTAAAGCAAACTCACTGAGATTAAAGTCAGATATTTATTTTCAGTTTTATTGGATAAAATATAGCTGTTTTTTTCTAGACACATGATGTCTGTAAGGTTCATTCCTATTAATTCAGAACAAGATATTTCTTATCTTTGTGCTAGCACGGATATCTTCATTGGTTTGGGGGAAGCTGGATGCAGTAGGTGACCTGTCAGCTGCACTCTGCAAACACAATCTGAGGATAACATGCAATGTTTCTTACTTTGTGTGCCAGGTGTGAGTAAGGCAATGTATGTAATGCTGGTCTTTCTCACGTTACATCTTCTGTCTCCAGCTTGCATTACAGCTCTAAGGGCTAAGATCACTCCAGGCCCATCTAGCTGAATTTGCTATAGTGCCCTGCTAGCAGACTCATGCTCTGTCTCAGCTGCCCTAGTAAGAGCATTCCTCATGAAGGCCACTACATTTTTGCCTGAGTAGGTTAGCAGATGTTAATCTTTTTGGTGAACTGGAAACCGAAAGACTTGGGGACTTGTATACTGTTTTACTGTACCGAAATTTGCTAGCTGTTGTGATAATAGCTGATACTTTCTATCTTTGTTTCAGTCTCTTTTCTTAGCTTAAATTACTTAGTATTTTATCTTAATTCCCAGCACCTATGGGGCTTTTCCTCTTTCTGCGTGCCTTGAAGAGAAGTTAACATACCTCAGATAATGATTGTGACCAGCTGTGTCAGCACGTTTTGAGAAGTCGTCTCTAATCTAAGCCAGCAAGGACTCACAAAACAATAAATCCTCCTTAATCTCTGCATAATCCTATCACATAATACATTATGTTTGATGAATCTGACATTTATCCTTTAAAATCTGCCAGTGCTGCTACTCCACTGCATCTGCTCTGCCATAGTCATCACTAAAATTAATGGCATGCCTGATGTTTCTGGTGCATGCTACACTGTTTCAAGTATGGATTACTTAGTGTCCACTACTTATTTCACAGCCTATACAATCTGTAGCATGCACAGTCATTATTTCACTTTCATCACAAGCTGTAACAATATTGCATGAATTTCCTTTTTGGTATCTTGGAGATTTCCAGGATTTCTGTGTGGATGCTTCCAAAAATTACAGAATCATAGGGATATTGATTGAGAAAGACCTCCAAGTCATCTAGTCCAAACTCACTGTTGCTAGCACCAGACCTAAAACATCCCAGCCAGGAGTTGTTTTAGACATTATTGTTCTTAACAATAAGCTTTTATGGTGCTGTTTTTTAAATGCTGAATCATGTGCATAGCCTTGTGCACAAATGCTAATGCTGAAAAAAATCCTTTTAAAGAGATGTAGGTTTCATTGCCAGATGAAACAATACAAGCATGCATTAAAGTTAAGCAAGAATACAATGGACATCACTACAAGAGGAAACAGAGTAAGACAGATATGCTAAGACCTTTTTTTTCAACTCTTATTGCTGTAAGATCAAGCTAAAAACAAAGCAATGATCAGAATTAAAATTACACCTTTCCATCTAAAGAACTAAAATTCTATATTGCAGAATATTATTTTTAACAGAATCTATAATATAAGGAGCTGATACTGGAGTTCTTACATTATAAACATTTTTATTGAATGCTCTTTTTCAGTAAAAAGTGTTCAACATCTGATCATAGGCTTCACATTGTTTTTCTATTTGTAAATTGTACCTGCATCATTTGTAACAGTCAGCAGCTCTTAGTGCTAGGACAACTTCAAAAAAGACCAAGAAACCTTAAGGAAGAAACAAAGAACACTTGCAGGCCTAAGGAGTGTGTGTATGGTGTTTAAATCTTGCACAGGCAGTGTTTGCTTGCACCAGTGTTGTTTTCCTGCTTTCAGCACCAGGTTTCTACTAGTGGTTTAGTTGTTAGAGCTCTAACCTTATTTGCCAGTAGGTGGAGGTACAATTCTCTCTTACTAACTGTCTCCTGGAACACTGAAAACACATTTTAAAAGTACCACTTTAATCATCAGAGGGATCACTTTTTTGTGCATTTTCATTAACTGCAGCTTAGCCATTTTGGTGATGCTAACCAGAGAACAATTTTCACCCAGTGCTCATGGGATTATGGAGGAAAACAAGTGATTTACATTTTCTTTTAGAGCTACCTTGTTTGCTACACTGTTTTAGCTTTTAATAATAAAAGCTGTATTATTACAAGCCAATTGATAAGATAGCCCTTTGGACTGTTCCTGTAAACCATAGATAAATTTTACTTTAATATCAATTTAAGTTGTATCTGAGGGATAATTGCACAAATTGGCTAAAAAGAAAAATACAACCAGAAATTGTAAATCATTTGGTGTCTAAGAAAAAAGAATATATTTAAATTTGGATAATTGCATAATTTTAGCCCTTAATTATGGCCATGCCTAAAACTGAACTTTACTTGAATATAAGGCTAATTGTGACTTTTAAATGGTTAATTTTTTTCCCCTACCAAAAAAAAAAAAAAGATGCTAATCGATGTCTATTGGTATCTGTGACTAAGAACCTCAAGTGATATGCTAAAATAATCTTCTCATGAAATTTAATAATGGTTTGGCAAAGATTAAAGAATTATAAAAAAAAATGTTTTTCTTTCAGTTGCTAAACTATTTTTAAATGCAAAGATTTTGCAACCTATTATGCAGTGCTGTTATGATGCTTATTTCCCCCATCCCAACTCCTCTCAAACCAAGAAAAAAACCTCTTCTAAAACCCATACCTGTTTCCTGCTGCACTGCCTGCTACTCAGAGCCACTCTAATTACTGTGATAGCTGCATTTCTAAATAGTTTCTATTTTTTCCTGTTCATAACAAAAAAATTTGGTTTTATTCCCTGCATTACTAACGCTGAAGCTTCAAAATGCTTTGAGTATTCCAGAACTACTACTTTAAAGCTCAGTCATCATAGCACTTACCTATACTGGCCATGGAAAGATCAACTTCATCATTTTTACCTGAAATATAATAACATGATGTTATCAGTAGTGTTGGTTACAGAATTATAATGAGTAATTTTACCTCTCTCAGTTATTTATCTAAAATAGCATATTGTAATTGATCTCATTTTTTTTAATGTATGGGGCCAAAATAATTAAGGTAGATCTTGTGTGAGCCCAGGTTGCTGCTTGTTTTATTGTTGCTGTACCTTACATACCAAGATGTGTTTCTTTTTCCTTTTCACAATTCCTTAGCTTTGTTTTACCTTTTTGTTTCTTTGCCGCTGGTTTTGAACCTTTCAAGGCGGTCTTGCTGGATTTGACGTCTTTTGGCATTTTTTCAGATTTCTCTAGAGAAAGATATGTTTCATTAATAATTTTAAATAGACAACAAAATGCACCATGTATGAGTGAAAATTTCATCCATAACCTTATGTAGCTTATCATTATAATAATATTTTCATATGCAGCTAAAGGTATGTGTCACAGTTTTAAATAATAAGCTGTATTTTCATATCATGTGTAATAGATGGAAAAACTTCTTTTGCCCAGGGTGTTACAAATGAGCACTGTCCAAAATAATGGCAGGTTAGATGAGGATAGAGGTTTCCCTTACTGAAAGCTAAGGACCTGAGATAAAGTGGGAAGAGCATGGGTGAAAATTCACCAGTTATAAATGTTTGTTCCAGTGTTTGTAAGTGTAAACCATTACTCAGCTGCACAAAGCATTTCTATTTGCAGTTTATTTGCAATATTGCAATTATTGCAGGGTATCTCTGCGGAGGACAAGATCGGGAAGAAGATATATGCCTTTTTAAATGTAGCAACCACACAGCAGGAGATGATATTGTATAGAAGGCTGCTTCTGTTTCATTTGCCCTCCTTCATCCCAATATCTGGAGAAAGGATTAGAACAGAAGGGCAAGAAAGACTCTGCCATGGCAAGAAGAAACGCAGTTCAGGCTGGACAGCACCATCATGTGGGAGGTGCTCACATAGCAGCTGATGGAACAACGACATCAGGATGGCCCAAATTCTCTTAGCAGTGTTAAAATTGCTTCATGTTAATACTGAAGAGCCAGAGGTGTTCAGGTGGGGTGAGGACAATGGGGCTCTCACTTTGTTTGTATCCTCCCTCTTCATGTTCACACTTTTAAGACTGTAAACTGACTGGGACAGGAAACATTTTTTAAATGTCTAGAGATCACCTATGGTATTTGGGTGCTATCACAATTTTACCACTAACAAGAGGAAAGTAGATGCAGATAGGACAGAAAGAGATGGCACCTTCAGGGACGATGGCATGACATAAATATTTCTGATGATCTCTTACAGGAGCTACAGCCTGTCTGCCTGTGCACATGAACAGCACATTTACTGTCAAGATGCTTAAGGTAAAAAGGTGAGTTTATAAAATAAATGTTCTATCTTGAGGGCTTCCTTATGAACAGCCTAAAAATAGTGAGTGCTAAAACAAACATGCTATGGCCTGTGCATTTGCAATTTCAGTGGCATACCCAGACTGAGAAACAGTGGTTTACTGTTTTGTAACACAGTTCTCAAATACTCCAGAAGCAAGCAATATAATCTTAGCCTCTGATCGAAATTTTAGCATGGAGATGGCCACTGATGGCAAAATATAGGTCATGGATTATAGCCTGATGGAATAGCTGAGGTTTGGGATACATGTTGGCCTCCCATGAACTCAAGGTAAATTTTGGTGTTGGCTTTAATGTGAGCAGTCTGACACTCTCATAGCAGTTATACAGATTTCTTTTTCACTCCAGTCAAAGTAGAAAAATATATTGTATAAATCCTCAGACTCTTTCCTGTATCATACTGGATCTTGCAGATCACAGGGGGCAGGCTGCATCCATGGCATGTTAGTGTATATCTCTCTTTAATCTCTCTTGATTATGGCAAATGCAGTCCCCTTCATTAGTCTGTCTGAAGAATAGTAGCATTTTAATCTTTTGCTTCTTCCAAAAAGCAATGGTGATACCAATGCAAAGAAAATTAATGTTTCAGAATTCTGAAAATTTGCTATGCATGGGATGATGTTTTTAACCCCCCATCCCCCCAATATATATAATGAATGTAAGGAGAAAGTTGGAAATTTTTTCTGACCTCATTCTCACAGTCTTTTTGTCAAATACAGGAGTAGAAACACTGTTAACATAGTTCTGTGTAAGCCAATATATTTTCGTATATATATATATATGTGTGTGTGTGTGTGTGTATTTTTCCCTATGTTCATAGATATATATAATCTTTCAAAGGAGCCTATACAATATGCTTAGCTTATTGACCTACCTCACTGAGAGTGCATATCAACTTAGATGGTCAAAAGAGACTAATTTTTCCTTATTTAAAAGAGGAAAGCTGTGCAAAGCTGTTTCATATCTATCTTTTTGCATACTTTGCATACAAAAATTGTGACCCCTTTTGTAAATAGGTTCTGTGACTATTCTAACTTGAAACCAACATTTATACCTCTGTATAAGAGAGACAGCCCTCCAGGATAAGAGGTGAGGGCAACTGTTGTAGAAATTAGTTGAAGCACAATATAAACCATCTCTTATATATTCCAGTCACAATGTTTTAATTCACCGTTTCATAATTATGCACTGCAACAAAGCTAGTTTGGAAATTTTGAGTGAGTTCCTCTGAGTATCCTAATCTCTAAGTCACATGAATGGAGGAAACACTGAGAAGGCCGACATAAGTCACATCCTATGTTTAGTAAAATAACTCGCAAATAAAAACATCCCTTTCAACAGATTTCAAGCATATTTTTACCGATAAAAAAAGTTAAAACTCTGAAAATGGCATCCCAGTAATCAGTTCCCCTCCTCCTTCACTGAAAGGAGGAGGTGCAGAGGTAGTTGCAGCAGTACAGAGAAGGGCTGTGGTGGTGAAGCTGGTGTCAGTGCCTGTGCCTGTATCTGCATTTGTTAATGCAAAGGTTTCAGGGCTGCAGAGGACAGAGCAGTCACTGGGGCTGTTGGTGCTTCCCTCTGGGGTGCACAGGGCCTCCTGGCCGGAAAGCAGATAGACAACTACAGCCTGCTTATCCTCTTCTACAACACCCCCAGCACTGTATCGCCCTCCCCTCCGTCCTCCTGTGGCCGTGGGATTGTCAGTGGTCAGGAAACAGGGAAGGCCTGCAGAGAAAGCCGAGGCAAACTCCCAGAGACTTCTCTGGAAGCACAACCAGGCCCACAGCCATTTACAAAGCCTGGATGCAAAGCTGGTTCTTACACAGGAATATGGTAACCTCTAGGTGTTGCCTTCAAGAAACACACACACCAAACTTTCAAATATGTGTTGAGGAGAAGCCTTTTGTACCTCACCTCTTCCAAAAAAGTATACTAGAACAAAAGTCCCAATATGTAAGTCAAAAGCTACTATTTTCAGTAGTTACCTCTTAGTTTGGGGATTTGCTTTTTTTTTTTTTTCCCTAAGTTTTTATGCAGAATACTAAATGCTATCAAGAAAGCCATGAAAAAATCATTCTATATTAGTTGACTCTCTGAAAATGTGACCAAAATGATTAATTTTTTAATCTATGCTTAGTTCCTATTCTCTCTCTCTCTAGGGTATTTCTATACTGGTAATTTAAAAAGGACTTGTCAAGCACACACAAATGTATTACGCCTTTCCATTAGGTTTATAAAAATTCATGATTCTGTGATTGAGAAGAGGTTGGAAACAACATTTAAATGAACATAATTTGGAAATTTTAAGAGTGCTATAAAATTATAGATTTGAGAATTGTCATAAATATTGCCATGTATTTTATTTTTAGAAAGTAAGTAATATTTAGGTTTCATTAATTATGTTCAGTCTAGTTTTTCAGCAGTTTTCCAGTGGAACACAGTGTTACATTATGTAATTGCTAAAATCTGGGTAAATATTTGACAACTCTGTTTGACATTTAATAGCCTGGTTTGTTTACAGATGGCTCTAATATTTTGAACATTAGGCTTAAGAGAAAAAATAAGATCAGAGTGTTCTCCTAATCATTTAATGTACTGAAACATTTACAGCTAAAAACCAATCCGTGAAGTTGCTAGGTTCTGCAAAAGGCAAAAACTAATTAGCTGTCAGCTCTGCAAAAGATGCCACCTGATTTGAGGACACAGAATGATTCATTAGTTGCCTAATTGCATGATTTCAGGTCAACTTTGTGTGCATTACTATTTTAGGACTGTAATTTACTATAATTTGGAATGACAGAAGCATTGGATGCATGTCCATTTTACAAAAGCACTACAAGGAAAGGATCAAAGCCATGTGCTAATTGCTTAATTTGTTGTATCACTAGCAAGCTAAAAACCACATTTCTGTTGGTAAACATTTAGGAACTTGTTAAAAATACCATCTTGAAAATGACTTTGTCTCTCTAGAATTTCGCATGCAATGTTGCCTTTAATTAAATTTATTCTATTTTGCTCTACACAAAGAGCAAATAATACAAATTTATTAAAAATTATTAATAATCCTCGTGCATATTTGGACACAACTTCACTTTGTAAGTTGTAGGGAGTTAAGCTGAAGTTTTGACAATGATCATTTCAGCATATAAAGAGTTCAATTTGAATGTACCTGGTTTCACACTTACAACTTTCCATTAAATCAGGCTTACTTGAACCTGGGGTTGATTTTGTTATTTGATAGAAACCAGTAGGTGTAATTACAGTATCTGGGATGGTAAGTACAATATATGTAAAATTAGATTAAGAATTAATAAGAAAGCCATAAGAGAACAAAATGGAAAACTTCATTAGAATGTTGGCTAATACTGTGTTCTGATTCTCACCTTTCTTTTACTCTAATAGATTAAAATTGGAAAAGGTATAACAGGGATGATTGAAGACATAGAACATATTTTGTACTGGGAATAAACTAGGATTATTTTTAGCCTGAAAATGATATGATAGAAGTCAGTGAAATCACAAGGGACACAGAGAAAGTGACCAGGAGATGCTGATTCATGGTCCTAACACGAGATTGAGCTGGCATCACATGAGCCAGCTCATGTGAAACAAACAACTGGGAACAAACAACAGGCGTGCAGAAGGGTTTAATTGCACAATAAGTGTGTGAATTTGAAAATATACTGCCTGTGGACAGGACAGCTGCCAGAAGCACACAATTTCAGAATGTAACAGGGCAAACTGACAGATGAAAAATTGATTGAGGGCTACTAAAAATAATGATAATACATCTGCCTGTAGAAATTAAACCACAAATCCAAAAAAAAAAAAAAAAAAAAGGGTGGAAAGAGTGGAAATGGGGCTTTACTATTATCTTACCGGAACAGAACTTCTGGT